AATATACACAAACACTGATCTCTGGCTGAAGGAGACTCGAACCTACGAAGCTTAGGACAAGGTACGCAGTGCTTTACCAATCTACCCACACTGGACAATACCTTGGCGTGTAGCATCCGCTACACGTTTGATCCAAGGCAGCCAGCTTTCAGGGAGAAGGCTTACAGCTTTTCATCTCATCCCCTGCATGCATCAGCCTTACTAGAGATTTGAACAATGTAAGGAATTCGCGAGAGCATGCGAAATATACACAAACACTGATCTCTGGCTGAAGGAGACTCGAACCTACGAACCTTAGGACAAGGTACGCAGTGCTTTACCAATCTACCCACACTGGACAATACCTTGGCGTGTAGCATCCGCTACACGTTTGGTCCAAGGCAGCCAGCTTTCAGGGAGAAGGCTTACAGCTTTTCATCTCATCCCCTGCATGCATCAGCCTTACTAGAGATTTGAACAATGTAAGGAATTCGCGAGAGCATGCGAAATATACACAAACACTGATCTCTGGCTGAAGGAGACTCGAACCTACGAAGCTTAGGACAAGGTACGCAGTGCTTTACCAATCTACCCACACTGGACAATACCTTGGCGTGTAGCATCCGCTACACGTTTGATCCAAGGCAGCCAGCTTTCAGGGAGAAGGCTTACAGCTTTTCATCTCATCCCCTGCATGCATCAGCCTTACTAGAGATTTGAACAATGTAAGGAATTCGCGAGAGCATGCGAAATATACACAAACACTGATCTCTGGCTGAAGGAGACTCGAACCTACGAAGCTTAGGACAAGGTACGCAGTGCTTTACCAATCTACCCACACTGGACAATACCTTGGCGTGTAGCATCCGCTACACGTTTGATCCAAGGCAGCCAGATTTCAGGGAGAAGGCTTACAGCTTTTCATCTCATCCCCTGCATGCATCAGCCTTACTAGAGATTTGAACAATGTAAGGAATTCGCGAGAGCATGCGAAATATACACAAACACTGATCTCTGGCTGAAGGAGACTCGAACCTACGAATCTTAGGACAAGGTACGCAGTGCTTTACCAATCTACCCACACTGGACAATACCCTGGCGTGTAGCATCCGCTACACGTTTGATCCAAGGCAGCCAGCTTTCAGGGAGAAGGCTTACAGCTTTTCATCTCATCCCTTGCATGCATCAGCCTTACTAGAGATTTGAACAATGTTCGAGTCTCCTTCAGCCAGAGATCAGTGTTTGTGTATATTTCGCATGCTCTCGCGAATTCCTTACATTGTTCAAATCTCTAGTAAGGCTGATGCATGCAGGGGATGAGATGAAAAGCTGTAAGCCTTCTCCCTGAAAGCTGGCTGCCTTGGATCAAACGTGTAGCGGATGCTACACGCCAAGGTATTGTCCAGTGTGGGTAGATTGGTAAAGCACTGCGTACCTTGTCCTAAGGTTCGTAGGTTCGAGTCTCCTTCAGCCAGAGATCAGTGTTTGTGTATATTTCGCATGCTCTCGCGAATTCCTTACATATATATATATATATATATATATATATATATATATATATATATATATATATATATATATATATATATATATATATATATATATATATGCAATAAGATCACAGTAAACAGGTGATTTCAGAATATGCAAAACAACCACTCTGAAAGAATAGAGAAATTCCCAGCGTTTCGTGACTACTTACATTATCAGGAACATTGTTCCTTGATAATGTGAGTAGTCACGAAAGCGCTTGGAATTTATCTATTCTTTCAGAGTGGTTGTTTTGCATATATATAATATATATATATATATATATATATATATTATAATATATATATATATATAGATATATATATATATAGATATATAATATATATATATATATAATATATATATATATATATATATTATTTCGTGCTGTGTCAGCCAGAAACGGCTCATCCCCTAAAAAAGAAAATGTTTCAAGTATCAGTTTTGCCAAAAGATGAAACTGCAGGAAAATTGGCCAAAAAAACTAATATAGAAGTTTTCCGGTGTAAACTCGTGCACGATGGGTAATTAGGGGAGTAATTAGGTGAGTAATGGGTGAGTTTTGGGAGGGGCTGAGAGGTGTGGTAGCGAGGGCTGGCGAGGGGCCAGTTTAAGGCTCATCTTTGCCGACAAGACGACAAGTGGTGCAGTAAGACGGGGAGAAGTTCTCTAACTTCTTTCATTGGGTTTTGTTGAAGTTACACTGGAGTTTAGCAGAGAGGAGGGAGAGCGGCAGCCTCGGTCACTACTTATTACTTTTGTCAAATTATGATCAAATATATTTGAGGATGAAGGTTGGGAGTGGAAGATGATGGTGGTAGTGGTGGTGGTGGTGGTAATTGTGGTGGTGGTGATGGTGATAGTGGTGGTGGTGGTGGTGGTGGTGGTGATGGTGGTGGTGGTGGTGGTGGTGGTGGTGGTGGTGGTGGTGGTGATGGTAATTGTGGTGGTGGTGATGGTGATGTTGGTGGTAATTGTGGTATTGGTGATGATGGTGGTGATAATTGTGGTGATGGTGATGGTGGAGATGGTGATGGTGGTGGTGGTGGTGGTGGTGTGGTGGTGGTGGTGGTGGTAATTGTGGTGGTGGTGGTGATGGTGGTGGTAATTGTAGTGGATTTAATTATGCAATATTACAGGGTGTAGCAGAGGTTGGTTGGTATTGGAGGGTGGGTGCCGGAGGCAAGGGGAAAGACTGGTGGAATGATGAGGTAAAGGGGGTGACGAGGGTGAAAAAGTCAGCGTATGAGAGATTTTACAATGCAGAAGTGATAAAAAGAGGGTGTAGCATATAAGCGGAAAATAGAGGTTAAAAAGAGGAAAAGGAGTGCAGAAGAAGAGCCAGTGAGACTGACTAAGAATAAAAAAAAAATATTTTGAAGAGAGATTAATAAGACGACAAAGCCTCGGGAACAAGTGGATTTACCGTTTAAATACAAAGCTGAAAGCCATTAAATGGAAAGGTGGGAGTACAGGGAAAGATGGAGAGAATATTCTAAGGAATTGTAAAACGCTGATAAAGAAAGGGAGGCAATAATTTCATGCATTGGACAGGGACGATACAACACCTTGTAGGAGTGAGGAAGAGTGAGACGTGAATGTGGGGAAACCCTGTAAGGCAGTGGATAGAATGAAAGAGGGGAGAAAAAAGAAGCTACAAGAGGTGGAATAAATAAAGAAATGCTAAAAGCAAGTGAGAATATACAAATTTGGAGCGGTTGGTGTATTCAAAATATCAAAGAAATTTTAAAGAAAAAAAGGGAATAATTCCATTGCATTTTATATAAACATTATTATTATTATGACAAATAATGGCGAATTAATACTGACAATCAGTATATAACAAAGACACCGGGAGGCCTGGTCTACGTCCAGGTCTCCCGGTGGATCATGGCCTGATCAACTAGGTTGTTACTGCTGGCCGCACGTACACCAACGTACGAACCACAGCCCGGCCGATCCGGTACTGACTTAAGGTCCAGCTTCCTCTTGAAGACAACCAGGGATCTATTGGTAATTTCCCTAATGGATAGTGGGAGGCTGTTGAATAGTCTTGGGCTCCGGACACTTATGGTATTTTCTCTTAGTGTACTAATGGTGCCCCTACTTTTCACTGGGCGGATGTTGCATCGCCTGCCATTTCCAAAATCTTTAATTTGTGTCTTTATTGTTTACAATTATTGTTATAAAGATGAAGACATAAGGCACAAAAACATTCATATATAATATATATATATATATATATATATATATATATATATATATATATATATATATATATATATATATTTTATATATATATATATATATATACCCACATAAATGCATATGCATACATACATACATACATACATACATACATATGTATGCATGGCGTTATATTCATGTGTTTCTGACTTAGTCTAATATATCCAGTTACATTAATACTTTATCAAATATTTATTACAATAATAACGTTCATGCCGCTGCATTATAATCTGCTACATAATATATGGATGTGAAGCATGAGTGGTGAATGTTGCAACAAGGAGAAGGCTGGAGGTAGTGCAGATGTTATGTCTGAGGGCAATGTGTGGTGTGAATATAATGCAGAGAATTCGTAGTTTGGAAATTAGGAGGTGAGAGATTACTAAAACTATTATCCAGAGGGCTGAGGACGGGTTGTTGAGATGGTTCGGACATTTAGCTCTGGAGGATGGAACGAAATAGAATGACTTCGAGAGTGTATAAATCCGTAGTGGAGGGAGGGCGGGGTAGGGGTCGGACGTCAAAGGATGTTAATGTTTCAGTTTTATAATTGTAGTGTAAGCATGCCTCTGGCAAGACAGTGATGGAGTGAATGATGATGAAAGTTTTTCTTTTTTGGGTCAACCTGCCTTGGTGGGAGACGGCCGATGTGTTAATAAATTTTATATATATATATATATATATATATGTCGTGCCGAATATGCAGAACTTGCCATCTTGGCTTAAATAGCAACGCTCATCTTGCCATATAGGACAAGTGAAAATTTGTGTATGCAATAATTTCGCCAAAATCATTCCGAACCTATCGAAAAAAATATATTTCACTGTGTTTGTTTAGTATTAAATTATTGTAAACAAATCTAAAATATATTTAGTTGGGTTAGGCTAAAATAAATTGTTCTTGTTATAATAAGGTTAGGTAAGGTTTCTAAGTTTCTTTTGGTGCAAAATTAAAAATTTTTACATTAACATTAATGAAAAAAATATATCTTTAAACGTATAAGAGAAAATTTCAGAAAGGACTTAATTTTAAATGGGTTCTTGCTAATTGACCAGTTTTACATATTCGGCACGACATATATATATATATATATATATATATATATATATATATATATATATATATATATATATATATATATATATATATATATATATATATATATATATATATATAATATATATATATATTATATATATATATATATATCCTATTCTTCTCTTTCTCTCTCCTAGGTACGTACTCACCTGTCGTCTTTAACATAAGTGTGAGTATCCCAGGTAAGCAGCTCGAGCACCTCATCCACCTGCCTCATCCACGACACCTGCAACAACCAACACTTGTAGTTAGTGATGACACTCAGAGCTTACCATTACCTGCTACAAACACCACTGTTAGCGTAGAGGCGGGACCAGGAGCTGTTAACCACAAACAGTTAGTTAGTTAGTTAAAGATTAGCCGGTATTCTCCCGGCCCGGGCCTTTTCCAAGTGGTGGCCCGGCCTTGGCTCCCTCTTTAGGGAGTGTCTGAGACCTAAGTCTCCCATGGGAGGAGGCACAAGTACGTCCTCATCTTTGGGACCAACTGTCCCCAGGCCTAGCCACAAGCTAGGCCTCTCTGGTCTGCCATCCCCACCTCAAGGGGGCAAATGGGAATGACAGTCTTATGAGCTAAAGGCTCGGACTCAGGCACCTACCCTACCCTAGAAGGGTTAGGCATGGTGTCGATCCACCCCAAACAGATGAGTGCTTGCAACTGAGCATGCGTAGATGAGTACATGCTGGTGAGTACATATGAGCGCAAGTACAGTATACACTGAGCAAATATACTTTCTGTTTTACTTCACCATAAGTGTCTTTGTCTTCAGTCGTGTCTTATATACGCCATTTCATCCTTGAATAATTCTTTTTTCGATAAGGATTGAAAGTAAACAACGTTTGTACTCAAAAATAACATTTTTGAAGCATTCTCTTCTGTGCTTTAGTAACTCCAAAAACAAAATATGTTTTTTTTTTTTTTTTAGCCTAAACAAAATTCAAGTAAGAGTCTGCAAAAATTGAAAAAAAAAAAAAGGACACAAATGTCTTTCAGTTTCGTTTTTAATATTTAGAATATTTTATCCTGGTACAAAGCGCCTCCGTCTTTTCTAGTCTATATATTTTAATTGAAATTTTCAAATTTCCCCCCAAACGTGATAGAAAAAAATAAAATATATGTGAAAAATATTGGGAATTATCACGGCTTTTACATTTCAAATAAAATATTAAGATTTTTTTTTGCTCTATTTGTACCTTAAAATAGAGTTTAGAGCCTTCCAATGGGGTACCTTGATGTGGATGGGGGGGGTAGAGCAGTGTTGCAGGGGAAACGGAAGTTACACTCCATTTCCCTGGATCAAACTTGATTACCACCCATTCCCCAGCCTCTGAACAAGATCTGATTGCCTCCCATTCCCCAGCCTCTGAACAAGACCTGATTACCTCCCATTCCCCAGCCTCTGAACAAGACCTGATTACCTCATATTCCCCAGCCTCTGAACAAGACCTGATTACCTCATATTCCCCAGCCTCTGAACAAGACCTGATTACCTCCCATTCCCCAGCCTCTGAACAAGACCTGATTACCTCCCATTCCCCAGCCTCTGAACAAGACCTGATTACCTCCCATTCCCCAGCCTCTGAACAAGACCTGATTACCTCCCATTCCCCAGCCTCTGAACAAGACCTGATTACCTCCTGTTCCGCAGCCTCTGAACAAGATCTGATTACCTCCCATTCCCCAGCCGCCTCTGAACAAGACCTGATCACCTCCCATTCCCCAGCCTCTGAACAAGACCTGATCACCTCCCATTCCCCAGCCTCTGAACAAGATCTGATTACCTCCCATTCCCCAGCCTCTGAACAAGACCTGATCACCTCCCATTCCCCAGCCTCTGAACAAGACCTGATCACCTCCCATTCCCCAGCCTCTGAACAAGATCTGATTACCTCCCATTCCCCAGCCTCTGAACAAGACCTGATCACCTCCCATTCCCCAGCCTCTGAACAAGACCTGATCACCTCCCATTCCCCAGCCTCTGAACAAGATCTGATTACCTCCCATTCCCCAGCCTCTGAACAAGACCTGATCACCTCCCATTCCCCAGCCTCTGAACAAGACCTGATCACCTCCCATTCCCCAGCCTCTGAACAAGATCTGATCACCTCCCATTCCCCAGCCTCTGAACAAGACCTGATCACCTCCCATTCCCCAGCCTCTGAACAAGACCTGATTACCTCCCATTCCCCAGCCTCTGAACAAGACCTGATTACCTCCCATTCCCCAGCCTCTGAACAAGACCTGATCACCTCCCATTCCCCAGCCTCTGAACAAGACCTGATCACCTCCCATTCCCCAGCCTCTGAACAAGACCTGATCACCTCCCATTCCCCAGCCTCTGAACAAGACCTGATCACCTCCCATTCCCCAGCCCTATGAACAAGACCTGATTACCTCCATTCCCCAGCCTCTGAACAAGACCTGATCACCTCCCATTCCCCAGCCTCTGAACAAGACCTGATCACCTCCCATTCCCCAGCCTCTGAACAAGACCTGATCACCTCCCATTCCCCAGGCGATGTAATGGCCCTTGCGACTTCAGTACTTTCCCCATGAATTCTTTTTAATTACAACCGTTGAGTCTTTTCGATGTTAAAAATTCTCCTTCGATATTTTGCGAAGCACATGCAATACAACAGATTTAATAGTGGCACTTTATTGCCACCTCTTGTCCATATGTGACTCGGATATAGTATATGTAAATGAAAATATTATAGGAGTATAACACATTGTTGTTCTTAGTGGTTATATATGAGTGAGGCACTGTAGTACTGGCACTTGTTATACATGAGTGAGGCACTGTAGTACTGGCACTTGTTATACATGAGTGAAGCACTGTAGTACTGGCACTTGTTATACATGAGTGAGGCACTGTAGTAACTGGCACTTGTTATACATGAGTGAGGCACTGTAGTACTGGCACTTGTTATACATGAGTGAGGCACTGTAGTACTGGCACTTGTTATACATGAGTGAGGCACTGTAGTACTGGCACTTGTTATACATGAGTGAGGCACTGTAGTACTGGCACTTGTTATACATGAGTGAGACACTGTAGTACTGGCACTTATTATACATGAGTGAGGCACTGTAGTACTGGCACTTGTTATACATGAGTGAGGCACTGTAGTACTGGCACTTGTTATACATGAGTGAGGCACTGTAGTACTGGCACTTGTTATACATGAGTGAGACACTGTAGTACTGGCACTTGTTATACGGGTGCATCTCAGTGCCTTTGGGCACTTAGAAGTGTTTCTTAGAATTTTCTTACTTGTGTTAGAGCAAAGACAACGTTTGTCTCTCGGGAGAGCTTTTCATCAAGCCATGACTAGACAAAATTCCCAATGGAAATAAGTCACTGTCTGACGTTTTTGGGTTATCCTGTTTTACACTTATGCTGCTTTGTATGATAATCTAAGTAACTGTATTTGTGTATACCTGATTAAACTTACTTAATAATCAGCGAAATATTGTCAGTTTTACGCTTCTCTCTCTCTCTTTTTTTTTTTTTTTTTTTTTTTTTTTTTTTTTTTTTTTTTTTTTTTTTTTTTTTTTTTTTTTTTGTCATTCCCTCTATCGACGTTAACGTAATATTAATCATTTTCAAAATATTTCAAACTAGAATGTGTACAGTGCATATAAATGTCTCTGTATGTGAAAGTAATCACAGTGAAACGCGTGACAGCAAATGGAAAAAAATAATTAACACAGTGAAAAAAATGAACAGGAAACCCTAAACGCTTGCGTGTGTTTGCACTCTGAAGATGTGTGTGCGAGCACCTGAAAACGCTCAGGTTTTTTTCTGTTTACTTTTATCTATAAACAATTAACTTAAAATCCATATATTTAATTGCATGCAGTATTCATAATTTTCTATATGATAATAATGAATGAATCGTCATCATCATCATCATCATCATAATAATAATAATAATAATTAATAATAATAATAATAATAATAATAATAATAATATAATAATAATAATAATAATATAAAGTAATAATAATAATAATAATAATAATAATAACAATAAATAATAATAATAATAATAATAATAATAATAATAATAATATCTTTATTTCTACAAGTAAATGTACAAGGTATACAGGCCTAGCTGACAATAATAACATACTACTGTATAGAAAGCCGCTTGTTATGCTGAGCATTTCGGACAAATTAGGTCAATTATGTCCCAGGATGCGACCCACTAATCGACTATCACCCATATACATATTTTAATGATAGGTGAACAGGGACAGCAGATGTCTTAAGGAAGCGCATCTAATGTTTCCACCCGTAACGGGAATCGAACCAAGGACCTCAGTGTGCGAGTTGAGTGCACTAGCAAACGAGCTACATTGTTCGGTGATTCGCGAATCTGTGAGCAAATTAACAAGGAAATACCAGATGGGTCAGTTCAGTAACGAGGATAACGATAGATGGAGCCCCACTACATGTGATAGTCTTCAGTGTTACTAACTTAGCTGGTATATATACTGGCTCCCTTCCCTTTACGCTTCTCTGTGACTAGTTAATGGTACAAGTGAGACCGAAACGTCGTCGTACGTTTCAGTCTCCTACGTGAGGGGTTAAAATAGTAGAACTTTCCTGTCAGACAAATATCACATTATTGATAGTTACGGTATTAAGTTAGAAGGGGTTAACAATACCTCCATTTATATTGGGTGGCCCTGTGGGTTAGAGTATTCTGAAATTTTCGCTCACCATGACGCGGGTCAATACAGCACGGGTTCGAGCCTCCGGCTAGTCGCAGTGCTGTTATTGATTAAACACCACTCGTTCGTGGTTAAAATAATATATATATACTGCTTGTGGAGGCTAATACACCAAACGGGGAGTAGAATGAAATTAGCTCTGAGGCCCCTACACCATCGTATGTTCTAGGATCACAGTACAACACCTAGCTCTGCTGGGTACGTGATTCTTGTAGGATTGTATGGTTCCGTAGATTAGAGTGTCGTGGAATTTTCGCTCACCATAAGGAGGACTAAAACAACACGGGTTCGATCCCTGGCTAGTCGCATATATATATATATATATATATATATATATATATATATATATATATATATATATATATATATATATATATATATATATATATATATATAAATATATATTTATATATATATATATATTTCACTCTCTCTCAACTCCCTTGTTTGAGTATTTCATGATGGTGAGCACGAGCGAGGAACTGA